ATCTTTTGAAAATGCGGGGATATAACAGAAAACAAAAAACCAGTAACAACACAGGCACTTTGCCGTCCGCCGCCGACGGTGTAGAAGCCACGGGGCAACAACCTGTGCAACCTCGGAGCTGACCCATTTGGTCAGTTTGCCGTCCATGTCAGACGGCAAATGGTTGGGTCTGCTGACGCATCTGCTGGCGTCACAAAGCAGATGGCAAAGGGCTGTGTAGCTTTGTCGTCAGCTGACGGACGACAAAGGCTGCTGTTAGCCACCTAACATGGCTAACACATGGTTTTTTCCGTCCATGTTCTTTGCCGTCCGCCACTGCCGTTAGCAGAAATGCAGAATGGCGAGCACTGGAATCAGTTGATTGATTTCTAGGAGAAATCAGTTAGGTTGACTGTCCTCTGATTGGTCCCAACTATGACGTTGGATCCTTTGAAATCGGTCAACGGATCACTAAAGCAGTGGTCACTTCTTCCTCTTTTCATACCACAACAACCGAGCAGCTAGCAATCATCCTCCACCCTCGTAGCAGCAGGGTCGCAAAGTTTGCCGCTAACATCGTCTCCGTCGTCTCCAGCGGTATGCTATCACAGCATGGCCACCATTGTGTTCCTCTCCATGTAAGATGGCCTCACAGCATGGCTGATGTGGCGGCCGTCGCTACGCAACACATCCACTTTTGCAATCGTTGTCATCGTTATTGTAGAACTGCCTTGTAGCATGGCCCATATTGCGGAACTGCCTCGCAGCATGGTCGTGTTGTGATCACTGCCATGCAGCATGGCTGCCGTTGTATTCTCTCTGCGCAACACGATTACTTTTGCACAACTGCCTTGCACCATAGCCTCCATCGTAGAATTGCCTCGCAGCATGGTCATTGTTGCGGTTGTCACCATAGAAGTGAAAGAGGGAGTAGAGATTGGATGCGGAGAGGAAAAGTGGAATGGATGGAAAAGAGTAGACAATGTGAAGCTTCTGGAGATAACGTTTGGGTCAGGGCATCTCCAAAGCTGACCCGCAAGTGACTTCGGTATATGTTCGTTCTTATGTCCGGACGTGGTTCGCAGACAAGATGCCGGGGAGAGCCATCCAAAGCTATTTATAGATTAATCCAGTTGGGAGGAGAGTTAGTAGAGAGGGACCATGCATGTGGTGAGATTTATGGTGTGATGTTGGATTGGGAGGCGAGAGAGGAGAGGGGCACCATGCATGTGAAGAGAGAGAAAAGAGAGGACGGCCATGCAGTGACTTTTAGTCGATTAGATGAATGTTCGGACTCCGGTAAGGCCCCACATTTGTTTTTAGGACTGCTGAGTGGACATATACTTGTCCCTTTAATGGTAAAAGTGGTCCGAACACTATGATCCGAAGATATAATAGAGGTTTAAGGGTCCGTGTTGAAGATGCCCTTGTGCAGCTGAGTGGGGTGAGCGAAACATGTGGGGAATGAGCGTGTGTGGTTAACACGATCCAGCGGCTGCGTGGGCGGCCAAACACTTCACGTGATCAACCGGTTGTAAGAGAAAAGACATCGGCCGAGCCCGTTCTCAACCGGTTGTTCCCGAGTCTTTTCTAAAAAGAATAACCGCTGCTTTGTCTATAGAAAAAGTTCACACTCCATCAGGCTACTAGTTTTGCTGAGGGGAGTAACTTTGTAGGGGAAACACGTAGAATGATCTCAAAGTACATTTGTCATATTGGTACAGTTTTGATAGAGGAAAACGTACACCTATGCTCCAAAGTGCATAATATCTCCAAATGCATTGTCAGCACGAACACTTAGATAATCTCACGGTACGGTTGCTTAAAATGGGCTTTACTTACCTGAGTCTTCTTTGTTAACCTTTTTTTCACAAATAAAAGTTGTGTCGGAGCCCTGCCATATAGTCTCAAGTTTTTTTTACATATTTCAATTCAAACCTGTAAAGAATTAAAATGAAACATGTTTCATAAAATATGAAACAGACATAATCTGAGATGCCACATGACTTTTTTTGATAAATGTGACCATCGCCAACGTTGTGATATAACTTTACTAGCAAGTAGCAACCCAACGGGGTGACAAAGTCAGAAATCTGGATCAATCATCCTAGCATCCATTTCAGAAATTAAGAATACAACAACATGGGTACTCATCCAATTATAGATGCACGCTCTTAGTGGAGGCTCTTGCGCTTGTAGACATACGAGATGGTGAAGCGGATATAAAGCACAAGCTCGATGGCGCTGAGGCCAGCAAGTAGCCAGTAGAAGTAGTCAAGATGGGCACGGTTGAGGTTGTCTGCAAACCAACTATCCCCGCCACCGCTGCTGGTGACACGGTCAATGAGGGAGATCAGAGCGCCACTGATGAAGCCACCAATGCCCATCACACTAAAGTAAAGCGCCAAGCCAAGGCTACGCAACTCGCTTGGCATCTGGACATAGAAGAACTCCTGCATCCCAACCATTGCGAACACGTCGGCCACCCCGATCATCACATATTGCGGCACTAGCCACACCCAACTCATCGGCACCGTTGCTCCGGCGTCATCCACTAGGCCATACTCATGTGCCGTCTCTAGCCGTCGGGCTTCCACCAATGCGGCCACACACACAGTGGCTAGTGATATAACCATGCCGGTGCCCACACGTTGCAGTGGTGTTAGCCCTAAAGGATTGCCTGTCATGCAGCGTAGTGCTGGCACCAACAAACGGTCGTATATGGGCACGAACAACAAGATGGCTGCTGGTCCGAATGTCTGCAACGCAGCTGGCGGCAGCTCTAGACTAGCAAAGAGGCGGCGATCCAAGGTGCGTCCTTGCTTGTTAAAAAATGTCATAATTTGTGCAAACACAACACCATACGCCAGACACGCCGTCCAGATAGGCAGCAGCCGTAGCACGCTACGCACCTCCTCTGACTTGGTCATGTCATCTTCATCTTTTGGATGGTGTTGTCTTGTTGTGCCAAAGGAGAAGCTCGAGCTCCTGATAAGTGTGGCAATGTTGTGGGCGAGGCGGGTGAAGGGACTTTGGGAACCTGGGGTTGGCGCATAGAGGCGGTAGCTGGGGCTACCGAGGAGGAAAACAACGAAGGCACTGATCATGATGACACATAGAGATCCAAATCCAATTCCCCAACCAAGGTTCTCCTGGATGTAGCTGACTAAAGCGACGGCAACGGCGATACCAATGGCTATTGAGAAGTACCACCAATTGAAGAAGGAGCAACGGGCAGCGCACTCTCGGGGGTGGTCGGGGTCGAATTGGTCGGCGGCAAAGGCCAGGCCACAGGGTTTATCAGCGCCCTGCGCGATGGCGATGAGGTAGAGGGAGATGTAGAAGAAGGCCGCCTTCATCGATGAAGGGTGGGAAGCGTAGTCGTTGTCGAGAGATGACGCTTCTTGTGTTGGGATTGTTGATGCCAGAGTAATCATGCCATAACCCTACATATGTGAAATGCATGTGTTACCAAACATACTAGAAGGTAGCACAAATAAATTGGAAAAAAAAGTTTGATTATGGTACATCTATGTCAATTAAAAATATATAGCTATACCTTTAGTTCGACTATAATAAATTCAGAAACACTAAGCTCTAAAAACAGGTACCCCCTATTTGAAATTAATGTGTGATATTACATTTTATATAGATAAGTGAAGAATTCATACATCTGATAAGATGTTCAACCTTTCATTAATTATATAGTGAGAATATACATGATCCACAAACCAAATATTCTAAATTCCTCTACAATCAAACCTCCAGATCATTGTCAACGACGATGTACCAACCTAGAGATACCCTTACCACTCAAGCACGTTATCTAGCTGTTCGGGCATGTTTAATTAAAGAATTCATACATTTGATTTGATAAGATGTTCAGGATGTCATTAATAATAGTTATATAATATAATTAATGGACACATGCATGATCCACAAATACCTCCAGTTCACAGTCAACCTTGACATTGCATCTTTGCATTACCACTCGGGCAAGAGGATGTATTCTAGATGTATTCTAGACGTTATATATAATTAACGAACACAGGCATGATCCACAACAACCTCCAGATCACAGTCAACCTTGAGATTGCATATTTGCATTACCACTCGGGCTACAAGACGTGCCCTAGCCGTTTGAAGGTTTGATCAGAACAGTTATATAATTAAAGAACACATGCATGATCCACAACAACCTCCAGATCAGAGTCAACCTTGAGATTGCATATTTGCATTACCACTTGGGCTAGAAGATTTTCTAGCCGTTTGATCATATCGATTTATAGTTTTAAGCAACAAGTTTTTCATGTGTCGAGGTCGTTGCGTGCTCTAATTGACTCTGCTGGTGCATGAATTCTAAGCTCAAACTACGAGAAGCTTAACAAGCTGGCAAGACTGGTTAGCTATCATAAAACCAACTATCAACAAAACTAAGAGAAGCTTAGCCATAAAAAGTGAATCTATAATTACCAGGGCGTAGAGGGTGCTGGCGAGTATGATGGACCGGTAGCGCCCCAGCCACGAGTCGGCGACGAAGGCGCCCAGCAGAGGCATGAGGCTCGCCGTCCCCGACCAGATGTTGACGGCGGCCGCCGCCGAGGCGTTAGAGTGGCCCAATGGTCCTGTCAGATACGTGATAAGGTTCGCCGACACGCCGTAGTTGGCGAAAGTGCTGGCGAGCTCCATCACTGCATGCATTCCGCACGGCAGAGTAATCAGTTGTCGCCGATGAAAGGCTTAGGTAGGGCAGTGCCTGCATGTGTACGTACCGACGACGAAGAGGGCGGCGCGCCATCCGCCGGAGGTGTTGCGGTAGACGGGGCGGCCGCGGAAGTCGGAGACGCCGGCGAGCGGCAGGCCATCCTCGTCCACGCCGGAAAGAAAGGGGACCTCGGTGTCCATCTCGCAATGCCTACCGATCGGTGTCAATGGGAGACGCGCGCTTGTTTCAAGTGTCCAGGTTTGCACATGGCTCATCTATATAGTACATGTGTGCTAGCTGAGCTTGCGTTGCTGGCTTGCTGCTTGCAGAATACTTCATTTTCTGAGAAAGAAGGAATCCATCATGGATCAAAACTTGGATTCACGTTCCCTATGTTTCATCATCGGTGTTTATTTTCTTTCAACGGGACAGGAACAGGATACAAGTAGATAATGCCTTCGTCAATCTTAAAACACTGCGCTTACAATCTTAGATAGACCCCAGCGTGAGTGTGGCCGTGTGGTGATGCATCTAATCTACAGAAGGTGTGGTATGAGTGTGGTCTTGTGTGCGCATCTGCGTTGTATTTGGTGTTTGTAAAGAAACAAGTCGATTATCTTTCATACTCTGACGCTCAATCCCTTGCGTGCAGTACCTTGTTTTTTCTTTAGAGAAGAAAATCAGTATTAGCTCGGCGCGCGTTCATGCTGCGGGTATGCAAAGTTTCACTGACATCTTAATCCAGCTTAAGCGGATATGATGGGACATGTTTTCCCACTTAGGCTCATGGTTCAACAACAGAAAAGTCACCTCAAATATTCACCTGAGGTGCAGGCTGATTAAACCTGATTTATAAGTGCATTTTATCTTCTAATGCATTGTCATCATGAACACGTAGAGAGTCCCGTAAGGTTACTTATGCCACTTGCTAATGTGGTGCTTCTTTACCGATAGCTTTTTCCTAGAGTAAAGGAAATTTAAGGTTTTATTGCTTTGAATACACGCACAAGTTTATTACAAAGCCAAGTGCCACCCGGCAGATAAACTAAAACGTAAACAGATACTCCCTCCATCCCAAAATACTTGTCGGAGAAATGGATAAAATTAGATGTATCTATAATTAAAATACGTCTAGATTCATTCATTTCCCCGACAAGTATTTTCGGACGGAGGAAGTATCATAAACCAACCAAAGATACATACTCTTCAAATACTACCACATAAGTGACCACAATCCAGTGGAGTAACAAAAATGTTTGCTGATCATCCACTACATCGAATAATCGATGCATAAATACATCCACTGCTAATTCCAGGTTGTCACTCTGCACGGTCTCTTTTGTCTTTGTAGACGTAGGATCTGGCGAAATAGATGTAGAGCACAAGCTCGGTGGCGCTGAGGCCGGCGAGAACCCAGTAGAAGTAGTCGAGGTGGGCGCGATTGAGGTTATCACAAAACCAGCTGTCGCCACCACCGCTACGGGTGATGCGGTCAATGAGTGAAATGAGAGCGCCACTTATGAAGCCACCGACGCCAATCACACTGCAGTAGAGCGCTATCCCAAGGCTACGAAGCTCTTTAGGCATCTGGTCATAGAAGAACTCCTGCATCCCGACTATCACAAACACATCTGCCACCCCGACCATCATGTACTGTGGCACTAGCCATGCCCAGCTCATCGGCACCGTCGCACCACCATCGTCAACCAGTTCATGCTGTCGTGCCGTCTCTAGCCTCCGAGCTTCCACCAACGCCGCCACACACATGGCAGCTAGCGACACGGCCATGCCCATGCCTATTCGTTGCAGGAGCGTTAGTCCTGATGGGATGCCTGTCACGCAACGCAATGCTGGCACTAGAACACGGTCGTACAAAGGCACGAACAATAGGACGGCTGCTGGCCAGAACGTTTGCAACGTGGCTGGTGGCAGCTCTAGGCTGCCAAAGATACGACGATCAAGGGTACGACCCTGCTTGTTAAAGAGTGTAGTTATTTGCGCGAACACCACGCCAAACGCTAGGCATGCAAACCAGATTGGCAATAGCCTTAGCATGCCGCGTGCCTCCTCCAGGTTGGTTGCGGCATCTTCATCTTCATACTGGTGTATTTTAGTGCGGAAGAAGAAGCTTGAGTTCTTGGCAAGAGTAATGAAACTACGGCCGAGACGGGCAAAGGGGCTACCACAGCCAGCGATGGACATGTGGAGGCGGTAGGTAGGAATGCCAAGGAGGAAGACGACGAAGGCGCAAATCATTACGGTGCATAGCATTCCAAAACCAGTTTCCCAACCAAAATTCTCTTGGATGTAGCTTACGATATTAATGGCGAGACCTATACCAACGGCTATGGAAAAGTGCCACCAATTGAAGAAGGAGCTGCGGGCTGCGCATTCGCTAGGGTGGTCAGGATCAAATTGATCGGCAGTAAAGGAAAGGCCACAAGGCTTGTCAGCACCCTGTGCGAAGGCGATGAGATAGAGGGAGGCGTAGAAGAAGGCCACCTGCAACGACAAAGGACGTGAAGGGGAGTCGTTGTCGAGGGTTGGTGACGATTGATGAGCAAGGAGCGTGGATGCTAGAGTGATCATGCCGTAACCCTGCACATATAGGAGTAGTTTTGACTTGTGAGTGTTTGTGCAATTGATGTACTAGTGGCAATCCTTAATGTGTAATGCACGTGTCATCAACAATACTGTAATCTAGCATTAATAATCTGAAACTATATTGATTATGGTATACCTGCTTTAATTTTTTTTAACATTGCCACGCATTTTGGAGCAAATGTCTAATCATGAACTTTTGAGAAATAATAATTCAAGTTATATTAATAGAGCATGGAATTAATATTATCTAAAAATATGGACCTTATAAGGGTTATAAATAGTGTGAGTATTGTGAAACTAAGATATAATGTTTAGTTGGATGGCTAGGGGGAACTAAGTAGATCAGCTAATAACGTCCCCCACGTCGCTCCCGTGCGGGTGGCACAGGTGGATCATGAAACCTAGGGCCGCCACCAAAAAAAAAACCACTCCTCCTCTCCATCGTCCTGGAGGAAGCTGCATGGCGAAGCCTCCGTGGACGATGGAGGCAGCGGGGACCTTGCCTGCGTCGAGGGGGTGTCCTCAGGCATGGCGGAGTCACCCTTCGCTACGGCGACGGCGATGATGTTTTGGGTGGCTGCACGGTTCCGGCTGATCGGGCCGGTGGCCTGCCTCCTTGTCTACGCGCCGTACTGCTACCGCTTGAGCATAGCGCTGGTGTGTGAGGCGGGCCTGTGCGGCATGACGGCGGGCAGGCCGCTGCCGTTTCCATCAGATCTGGCACCTGGAGCCGCGGGCCAGTGTCCTCCGCTGTGGCGGCGATGGCGTCGGCTTGGTGGAGGCAGCGGCATGGTGGCGGTCCTTGTGCTCTTATCGCATCACGGCAATGTTCTGCTTGATCGATCCTCCTCGATCTCGCCATCGACGTGTTCGGGAACTACTGCCGGAGATCTTGCCCAAGGATATCTAAATCGGATAGTATTCGGTCGTGCGCGCCCATATCAGCCTACGTGGCTCCAGGAGGGTGTAGCGCGAAGCTCTGTTATTTGTTGACACTTGACACCATGGGATATGTCGGCATCTCAATTTCCATGGCACCGATAGCGACAGAGAAAGTCTTGATGGATGAGATAGGAGGATCAGTAAAGCGGAGGGGGCCTTGAAGGTGATAGAGTCAGCCAGGTGTTTGAAAGCATTTAGTAACAACAGTGTGAAGTGGGGGCGACAACACTGGAGGGTTACATTTTTGTAGTGTTCTTCGGGTGCCGAGTCATGATTTTCAGGATGAAAACTTAAGGTATGGCCTTCATTGGTTGTGCCTGGCAATTGCCTTGTTGAAGGTATTGTTCTGAGTGCTCGGTCTTTGTCCAGGGTGAAAACATATGGTCTTGGATCGGTGATGACGGTGTTTGTGCATTGTTTCCTTCTTGAAGGTGTCTCTTTTGGATACCTTTTATGTTCTCCGGGTGTTGTACTTGTTGGTGGTTTGTGTGCTGCTGCTGAGAGGAGTTGATCACTCTCGCGAGGCCTTTGTTTTTTTCTTTTTGGGCAATGTGCATCCTGGATGTCTTTGTGACTTTTTGTTGTGCAGAGGCTGGGTGTAATTGGTATTTTTGAGATAGTAATATATTTCCCTTTGAAAAAAAGTCGAATCCTAATTGTGCTGGCTCTTGTCCACAAAGAAATAAAATTTTGGGAAGTTAAGCTTTGACAACTTTGAGCAAGTTTACAGAAAAATTAGCTCCATCTATGGCACTAGATAATATCATCGGATACATCATGACACATCTTTCATATGATGTTTATTTGGTATTATTAATGATAATATTTTTCTTAATAAACTTGGCAAACCCTATAAGATTTGAGTTTGAGCAAATCCGTAAACACTACGTTATGAAATGGTGGGAGTAGTAGTTAAAGAGAATTCTAACAAAAAAGATGAGAGGGGAGATTAATAACTGTAGTTACTATCTAATGAAGAGGGGATGTTTTTATAGTATAAAAAATGGTTGGAGTAGTAGTTAAAGAGAATTTTAACAAAAAAGATGAGAAAGGAGATTAATAACAGTATTTTTTAACACAAATTAATAAATGTAGTTACTATCTACTCCCTCCGGTCCTCTTTTGTTTGCGTATAACTTTTTTCCGTTTTTCCCTGTTTAGTCTGCGCATCAGCTCTTTGTTGTGCTGCTTTCCCTTGGTGCCCTGCATCTGCCTCAGTAATTAACGGACGCATGCACGGCTGCAGCAGGACTCCAGCCAATCCAGAGCGGCATGCAGATGGGCCCAAGCCATGCGCGTGGGGAAGAGAAAAGGGGACCAAAGGAGCCTCCCAATCACCCGCATGCAGCTATTGACTGGTTGCATTGAGCAATTAAACTACCACATCTCTTCGATGCATGTACAGGGGCAATATAGTCCGAAAAAGATGCATGCAGTCCCTCCTTGGTATCCGGGCTTCTCCTTATACGCAGAGAAAAAAGGACCGGAGGGAGTAATAAAGAGGGGCTGTTTTTATCAAAAAAAATGGTGGGAGTAGTAGTTAAAGAGAATTCAAACAAAAAAGATGAAAGAGGAGATTAATTTCCAAAATAATTACCAGGACGTAGAGGGTGCAGGCGAGGATGATGGACCAGTAGCGGCCTAGCCAGGAGTC